TAACATCAATATATAATAGAATTATAATATATAATAGAATATATATATATATATCTTCTGTGCCTAAAATGGTGTAAGTTTGTGGGTATCAGAAAAGAAAGACAGTTGGTCATTCCACCCCAGATATACAGCATGCACTTACATAAGGGGAGTATGAAAATATAACATTATAGAAATAACAAAATAATAAATTCATTTCAAAAAACATTTCAATTGAATAGTAGGAAGTTTAGCCTTTCCATATGAATAAGAACTATCTAACATTTTGTCCATATTTTGCACTTTCAGCAAATATCAGTCACATAGGAAATACACATTTTCAGTTTAATGTGGATTCAATGACATTGTATCAGCTATAAACCACTTTGGATGACATTGCTGAGTATCATAGACACTAACAACCTGCCAGGTATTCAAGAAAGAACCAGCTGGGACAACAGAAGCTAAAATTAAATTTTAAGTCTCTGGATCAGATGTACTAACCTCTTCACTGTTTTCCAAAAATCAGAGCGCTGTCAACAGAATCCAGAGGTCTTAGCTGCAGGCACGTATCAAATACAGACTTATTTCTTTGCAACTGGTAATTAAATCCTGACCTGCTTTTGGTCTCCTCTTTAAATTGAGTGAGCTGATTATCAGCACGTATGAGGATGTGGCAGATGCAAGGATGTCCCAGAGAGACGGACACAAGGAGGTCTGTGTTGCATTATCTGTGCCCACTTGACTTTAGATCTTTGTCTTATATCAGCCATTCTTCCATAGCTGGTGGAACTGATGCCACTGGGTGCTCTGGCCTGGGATCTTCCAGAATTCCCACAGGGAAGTGCATAGAAAAACAGGGTCCTCTCCTGGACTGACAAGAATGTAAAACACAGGTGGATTGTGGAGGGGACAAACTGCCAGCACTGTCCTGCCAAGATGCCATGTGCCTCAAACCCACAGTGCATTTCAAACATACTCTCAGTTAGTTAATCTAAACAGATAGCACAAGTTACTAAAAATTCTGATCCTCTTGATTCTGTGAAATAAAATTTCATGGCACTTATACCTTGGTGAAATTTTTCAGACAAATTTAAAATTTTAAATTTTAAATTCAACAATCTACAAAGAGCTCACACTTCAGGCACTGAGGGATCTCTCATTGAAGGATCATATGTTTGTGTGCTGTCCTCATCCAGGTCCACCTCCTCCTCCTCACCTATATAGACATCTCTCAGTGCTGAGGACAGTGTGAAGAGCACATTCCCTCCATGTGGATGACAGTGTGTGGCAAGAAGGATCAGTGTGGGAGGAAAGGAAAACTGTAGTGAGATTGCCGCCATGCTCACCACCACCATGGATGTCACACACATGCCTCGACGCTCAGTCCCCATGACTGAAACTGTTCAGTGCTCTACCTCTGGGAAGCCACACTGCATGTTGGTCCTTCCTCCATCCTCACATGCCTCATCAGTTACCTATTTATACTGGCTCAGGTGGTAGTGACTAAGGAGAGTGGATTCCAAATGGCTGGTACCCAGGGGCCTCCCACCTCATCTTTAGGGCTGACATCTGTGCACACTGAGATGGGGACCTCCTAAGATATTTCCGGGGTGAGAAGACACACAGTGTGGGGCCACCTGTCTGGAGCCATGAAGCTGAAAGCTTGGAGGCACAGGCTGCCCATTGACTATGGTGTGAACTTGGAGGCTCAAAGCATAGAACTCCTGACTGGCCACTAGGTGAGCATATCACAAACTAAGGATTTCCTAACAGCAATGGTGGAAGAATAAGGGTAGAAAATGAACATCAAGTGATGTTTTACAGTAACTTTCTGTGAAACAAGTCCATTTACACTATTGGATTTTTTAAACATAGTAGCTTCTGAAGAACATTTTCATTATGGCATTTTAAAATTATAAATATTTGTCATTATTTTCATCATCAATAGCATTGAATATAGACTTTGTTGTTATACAATAACCATCATCCATCTCCAACATTCTTCATAGTACCAATATGAATCCTTGTTCCCAGTAGGAAAACTTCCCAAATTTGCCAACCAACATGGTCTGCACCATTCTACTATGGAACTTGATGGGAAATTAACACATAAGGTGCATATTGACAGGATCAGGTATTTAGCTTTACTACATTTTCCAACACATATTGCAACCAGACCCCAAAGGGACAAAGATCAGACTGTCCACCTCTGCAGCCTCCTTAAGGCCCTTTTAATGTCCCTGTTTCTCAGGCTGTAGATGAAAGGGTTCAGCATGGGGGTGACCACAGTATACATCACAGAATCCACCGCGTCCATTCTGGGAGAATGTGATGCAGCTGAACCAAGGTACACTGCAGTACCTGTTCCTAAAAATACTCAAACACCTGCCAGGTGAGAGCCACAGGTGGAGAAGGCTTTGAACTTCCCACTTAAAGAGGGGATTCTCAGAAGAGACGACATAATTTTATAGTAAGAGAAAAGGATTCCTGAGATGGGAAAAAGACCATATACAGCAGCAAGAAAATACTTGTCAAGGTTATTAGAGTAGGTGTCAGTGCACGAAAGATTCAGAAGTAGAGAAGAGTCACAGAAGAAACTGGAAATTTCAACATTCTTGAAGTTGGTAATTTGTAAGATCAGCAAATTGTGCAGCTGAGAGTCCAAGAGACTCAACAAAAATGACACGAAAACTGAGAAGCCACAGAGGTGAGGGTTCATAATGACTAGATAATGCAGGGGGTGACAGATGGCCACAAACCTGTCATAGGCCATCACAGTCAGAAGCATATAATTCATACAAATAAAAATGGCAAAACGAGACATCTTTGTCAAGCATCCTTCATAGGAGATAAGTTCATTGTGAGTTTGAATATTTACAATCATGTTTGTGACCGTGGTGGAGATGACACCAATGTCAGCCAAGGACAGGTTGGAGAGGAAGAAGTACATGGGGGTGTGGAGGTGGGGGTCAGAGCTGATATCCAGGATGATGAGCAGGTTCCCAAGCACTGTGACCAGGTACATGGACAGGAACAGTCCAAAGAGGAGGGGCTGCAGGTCTGGGTCCTCTGAAAGGCTCAGGAGTTGGAACTCAGAGACGCGGGTTGTGTTTTGTGCTAGTATACTGCTTGGACACCTTTTGAAAAAACAAAGCAGGTGTTACAAAAAATACATAAACCGGCACCCCTTATTCTGTAAGCTTTTGAAATTAAGTATGTACAAGGAAGCTGCTCATACTTTAGGTCACTAAACCTTCAAAAAAAATTGTCAGTAGTGAGACTCCCAGTCTCTACATACTCTTTCATTCTTTCTCCATAATTCACCCTCTTTCCATAGTTACATTTGCAGCATTTTCATAAGCAAAATTAGAAATCCAGGAGCAGAGGAGAGAAGAAGTTCATGATCACAATAGAGTATAGCTTACTGTTTAAGAAAAAAAGGAAATAAGTAATGACTTTCTGTAAGAGAAATTAGGAAGAAATTGATATACCTCATTGGGTTCTAAGGCCTTGGAACAAATTCCTTTAACAAGATATTTGTGACTATGTAATGACTTTTCCTGACAACTAAATCAAAGGGGATGCATCATAATCAGAAAGAAGTATGCTCTATTTTCTGAAAGGGGTCTCATCAATCTTTGATCTTCTCATTTGCCTCCTTTGTGCATTTATGTCTTCACTTTAAAAATTATATAACAAGAAATAAGAAACCTTGTCTTTGATAAACTTCAGATTTTGATAAACAAGATTGAGTCAGTGCACGTAATCAATAATAGCATTAACCACAGATGTGGCACTGGTGTGCAGTGTACCTGTCAATTATATTTAAATCCTAGACTGTAAAATCTCCTTTGAATAGTTTTATTTCATGCAGGTTTATTGTGTCAACCAATACAATATCAGCAATGTATCTGTTCTATAAAATGGCACTTAACTTTTTCTTTTTCTTGATCCTGTACTTCCTCTAGCTTGCCAAAACTGCTTCATGGTTTTATGATCAATCATTGAAGTATATTTTTTTATGATCTAAGAAAAAGGAAAGCCCTTAAACTCAAGTTTTATTTCCAATCTTCTTATTTCTTTATGGATTTTCTGGTCAGTCATTCCTGACACCTTCATTTCAATTCTCTTATTTAGGCTGCATGAAGTACACTTGGGTTCATTTTTATTTTTCACCATGATTGAACTGGATACAGCACAAAACAGAGTATAATAAGAAATAATAAAACAACTTCTTCAAAACTTCCTCACCTGTAAAATGGGGTAATAATTCCCAACCTTGTATGGTTGTCATCAGGAAATTATTTTGAGAAATCATTCAAGCTGCATAACTTGTAATTCTCTCCCACTATTAAGTGTCCCTGTGTATACCTTTGAATATCTATACACAGCAATGTCAGACCAACACCAATTATATCTGCATGTCCACATGTAAAGATCTCCACAGTCCTTTCTTATACCAGATCTGATATCCATTGTCTAACAACATCCTGACATAGAACATGCTCCATGAATATTATCTACTATTATTGCCCATAATACCCATTACCTATATTAAAATTTGTTAATCCAATAATATTTGTGCCAGGACTAACAGTAGCAAGAGATCTGAATCATTATATAAGAAATTTGAGTCTTAGTATCTCTACCTGATTCCATTCTCCTGCACACCTGTCTCCCAGCACATCTACTGTCATTAAATGGGAGGTGTGATATTCTGTTGGTATTTTCATTTCAGTGTTATCTACCATACATTTTCCTTTACAAAATTGCTTTAAAAGTACCTAAAAATACTCACCTAAGTATTCTGCAGATCAATGCCTATTGCCCAAAAATATACCAGGTTACATTAACCTCAGGTGATAATTCCTCTGTGAAGTACATTCCTCTTCTTCAGTTTTTATCTGATGCAAAGAGCTACCTGAAGAAAAGACCCTCCCATTTAGTAGGATTGTTTATTAATATGGCAATGATTTCAAAATTTTCTGCCAATTGACTTGTCACTGAAATAAGAATATGCTTGCTTTGTCAACACATATATTAAATTGGAATGATACAGAGAAGATTAGCATGGCCCTTGTGCAAGGATGACATGCAAATTCATGAAGTGTTCCATATTTAAAAAAAATAACTTTCCATAACATCTTGGTTGGGGATAGGAGACTGATTTCCAATGGAAAAAAAATGCATGTTGAAATTTGCTATTAATGACCAACATTTATGTCCCTATAAGAACAGACAATATCACCTACATCTTCTCAATCCTAATATGTTTCAGGAAAATGAAGCATCAGCCCAAGTAGTAATGTGCTGTCCTTGAAGAGTCCTGAAGAAATTTCATCTTCTGCAGGGAATACTGTTTCCCTCTGGCTGCAGCAGAAGAGCTGGTGCCCTGGGCTGGAGTCAGGAAGGCAGCATTTCAGACCCACATTCCACGTGCAAGTGTGTGCACAGTGTGTGAATCTCTCCTCCTCTCCCTGCTCACTGCTTGAGGGAAACACAGATTATAACACCATCTACACAACATGTGGAGCATCAAAGGGAAATGTGGAATTCAATAAATATTTGGTCACTATGTTTCAATAAACAAATTCCATGATTAGGTAACTATCAGCATTAAGGAGGAAAGCCACGGTCAAGGGCACTGGAGGCTGGAATGAGGTGAAACTCTGACCTGTGCCTCATGGAAGGCTGCAGTGTTAAGTGCCCTTCAGCTTCTGCCTCATTGCCACTCTTCAAATCCAAGAAGATTTCCATCATGATTTCTGAAACTTTTTTTTACTGTGGATGACATTAAATAAAACTAAATAGTCCCTATGTCCAAAACATGGACACAGAAAGACACTATTTTAACTTCCGTGGGCACTGCTAAAAAGAATGAATATTCAGACAGGAGGCCACAAGTCTGATCATCCAAATTCATTTGGCCAATTTAGGATGGAAAGGATGGGTGGGTTTAATGTCCAACACACATGCTCTAGACACTTCACTGTGCTGAGCAGAGCATGGATCCTGGAGTGTAAGAAATAGGAAAAAGGAAACTGTACTAAAATGTACAGCACATGCATCTGTAAGGGCAAAAATAAAGTGTCCCATCCAGAAATAGGATCAGTCACTTCAGACCACTGAATGCATCTGTTGAGTGGCATTAAGATCAACTTAGTCATGCTAACAGTAACAATAATGTCCAGAAATTTTGGCCAAGATTTTATTCACATATCTCATATTATACAGAGAATAGCACCAAGTATCTTTTATCTTTACTCATTGTAGTTGCATCAGTGGGAAATCAACTCAGATGGCAAGGCTGACTCTAGACCCCCATGAAACTAGGGACTGCCTTACAGACATAGAGATTGGGACTGACAGACTCTAAAATGGATCAGTTAAATATTTTTTTTTTTACTTTCCCACTTAACAGTTTTCAGCCTAAGTCCACAGATCTTAAACACTGGTAAATCTCAGGTACATTTTATAACTCCTTCCAGTTTTTTGAGTGGGAATGAAATCAAGACCTAATATTAGGTTTCCTCTGAGATTGAGAGGGCTGTTTTCATGCATGGAAGAGCATGTGGTGAGCTCAAGAAGGCTATGGAGGGAGGCCAGGAGCATGATCTATGCTGAATGACCATGAGCCTCTCTTACTGATCTCTCCTGTGACCTGTGGCTGTTCTTCCATAGTGCATGCAGCAGCCAGACACACACACACACACACACACACACACACACACACACACACACTGCTCTGCCCTGTGATCCCCAGGAATCCCACAGGAAAAGCACCATGAGCAAGGCTCTCTTTCTGCACTGACAGGGAAGAGAAATGGCTGGTGGGTTTGCTGATGGGACAGCCTGCCAGGGTTCTCCTGTGATGGCCTGTGTCCATGGCCAGAGAGCCCAGTGCAAATAAGGCTGCATCTTTTCCTATCTAGGAAAGGAGTAAAATTTACATACGTAAAACACAATTCTTCCTTTTCTATGTAATAATAATGAATTGTATATATATATAACTAAAGTGAGATGGTGCTACATGAAATGATATAGAAAAAGTTCCTCAGCACCTGAGCCTGGGAAGCCCTGTACCTCAGTTTATGGTCCTTTGGCTTCTGTCACCCTCATTATCATCTTATCACCTCCCTAGTCCTTTTTCAGAGCTTAGGAAACTCTTCTGAAGAACTCATTTTGTGCTGTTGTGGGTGAGATTTTTGCGTGAATTAAGAACCAGTGTGGGTGGAGAGCACATTTTGAATTTTGATCTCCCCACCTGAGACAAAAGCTTGAACCCCACAACCCCAAGGTTGAAGCTGCATGCTGGTGTCCTCCCATGTGGCTACTCTGTGGTATTTGCCCCTGTGCTGAGGTAACACTACTTCCCCACTCCTTCCCACATCCAAGGCCCCCTCTGTACTTACTGGGTCACGCTGCTTCCCTGCAGGGTCATGACCTAAAAGTGCTGACCCTGAGACCCTACCAAGTGTGGAGCCCAGGGAAGGAGCAACTGTGTCCAGAGGAACAGATCATGTGCTCAGGAGTTTCCTGATGCAGACACCTCAGGAGGAGGCACAGCCATGCAGCTCACTGGACAAGAACCATCAACTGAAGGACTACAAGCACATTCTGAGTGAGGACTATATATGACCTTGGAAGATCAATACACAGAGCTCATAATTAGATTAGACTAATTGGTCCATGAAATGCCCATCTCCAAGGACTTTCCATTATCATCAATGGGTAAGGCAAAGAAAATAGTTTTGGTCCCCAACACTAATGAGGAGCTCTGCTGTGTATTTATTCAATGTACTTCTTTCCCTTCTCAGACTTAAAAATATATCCGCTTGTAAGATGTATTATTATTAAAGTATAAAGAGCAAAAATGTGCTGTGGGAACTTTAATAAGTATATACTTCTGTGACATTAACTTAATCACTTTTTGAAATTAAGCATTTAGTCATCAAGATAATAGTGGGCCTACTGATCAATATGATTTTCAAGGGATTACTTTGCAATATTGGAATGATGTGAAACTCTAAAACGCTCTGTCTCCTGTCACTTCCCTTCACTCCGATTTTGCTTTTCCTAGGCTCACGGACATCTCTGCCATTGTTCTTGAGTAATTAAAGGTTGTAGATGCTGTTAAGGGAAAGTATGGGGCTCCTGTGTCCATGACATAGACACAAACCAGAGCTGCTCTATCTTGTCTATGGCTCTATGGGACGTACCTGAGTAGGAGGAAAGTACAGACAGGAGAGCACCAGTGAAACCCCGCTGAGTAAGGCCAGGACCTGTGCACAGAGCAAGGGTCTACTCAGTGTTTAACACATTTTTTTTCATCTCCTGTGTCAAACATGGTATAGGCTGTATGGAATCAAAAATGAAAGGGGGATGGTTATTCCACCCAAATATACAGCATACGCTTACATCAGGGGAGTATGGAAAGGTAACATTACAGAAATATGAACACAGTAACGTCAGTCACAAGATATTTCAGTTGAAGAGTATGAAGGTGAGCCTTTCCATATTAATAATAACTCTCTACCATTTGTGCCTGTATTTTACACCTTTATCACATCTCAGTCACATTGGGAGCACAGGTTTTCTGTTTAATCTGGATTCAATGTCATTATATCAACTGGAAATCATCTTGAATGATTACTGAGATCCAGAGAAGCTGACTAACTGCCTTTCTCTAATTGCCCTCTGTTCAATAAGGAATGAGTCCAGCTAACAGCAGCCAAAATTTAATTGTGAATCTCTGGGTCTGATGCACTGGTCTTTTTCACTGTTTCCCATCCATCAGAACATTTTTAAACTGAAGCATATTATAGCCATTTATAAACTATTTCCAAGGCTCTGAGTAGTAATGAAACCCAGACCTGCTTTGCTCCTCATCAGATGGAGAGGGCTGGTTACCAGAATGCAGGAAGACACGGCAGCTGCAAGGGTGTCCTGAGTAGAAAAACACGGAGGTCTCTGCTGGAAGGTTTGAGCCCACTTGACCCAAGATCTTTGTCTCATCTCAGATGTTCTTCCTGAATCGATGCACCTGATGCCACCGACTTCTGTGTCCTGGAATCTACCAGAAATCCCAAGGGAAGTGCGCAGGAAAAGGGTCCCATCTTGGCATGACAGGAAAGTGCAACACAGGAGTGCTTGTGGAAGGGACAACCTGCCAGCACTGGCCTGCCCAGGTGTCACGTGCCTCAAATTCACAGTGCATTTCAAATGTGTTTTCAGTTAGTCAACATTAAAAGTTACATAAACACCTGTGGTCCTTTATATTCTCTAAAATGAAATAACTGGCACTTTTACTTGGGAAATACTTTGCACAGCAATTCATACTAGCTACAAATAAGGCAAAACTCATAATGTGGCACTCAGGGATCTCTCAAGAAAGGATCATAATGTTTAGATGCTAATCTTATCTTGATCCTCAGCCTCATGACTTTCATATGCATTTTGGAGTGCTGAGGACATAATTTTAAGCACACATTTTCTCCCCTTGTGGATGACAGTCTACAGCTAAAAGAGTCAGTGTGGAAGTAAAACAGGACTTTCCATGAGCCTTCTGTTGGGATCACCACAACCAGGCATATGAACTCACAGTATCATCACTGACAATCTTCACCTTGTTCTCCCATCTGAGTAGACAAACTGCATGCTCCTCCTGATGGTGAAGAAATAATGCTAGGCAATGTCCTTCCTCCACCCTTCCTTCCCTTCCACAGCAGTTACTGATTCACACTGGGGCTCTGCTGATTTAGGACTAAGGAGGGCAGTTCCAAAGCCCCCAAATCCCTGGGGCCCAGTGGTCCCCACATAAACCTCAGGATATCCACTCAGACTCAGCTAGGAGCTTCCTGATACAGACATCCACAGCAGGGAGATACACAGGACTGGGGTCCTCAAGCTGAAGGGCTGGAGGCACAGGCTGGTTTTTTGACTATTGTACAATCTTAGCATCTCAGTGCATAGAGCTCCTATTTACCAAGTAGTTGAACATGTCAGCAACTCTAAGAGCTTTCTAATATTAAGGATGAAGAACAAGAGTAGAAAATGAGCATCACCAAGTGTTTAATCAGTTCATCTCTACTAATGAAGGGGCTCTTCTCTACTATAAATTTTTAATTTATTTTTTAAAAAAAACTTTTAGCTTTATATTATTTGGGAATGGTAAAAATGATAATGTTTGTAAGTTAATATTTACCACTAATATTGTGGTAAATTTAACTTACAAAAATTATCATTTTACCATTCCCAAATATATTGATCACCAGCATGTATTACATAAATATTTTTATGAAATATACATCATCTTTATTCTCTAAAATCCTTCATTATCCTAAAGTGACAGTTTATTAAAAATATAAAGAATTGCCAAACATTCCTTCCCAACACTGGCTACAGGCATTGCACTAAAGACATGTGAGGAATTAAATAGATCATTAATACTGAAAGTTAGATTAAGAGAACTGGATGTTTAGCTTTGCTGCATTTTGAATCATACATTGAAACTGGACTCTAAAGGTTCTGAGATTATATGAACCTGCTATGTAACCTTCTCAGGGCACCTTTAATGTCCCTGTTCCTCACGTTGTAGATGACAGGATTCAGCAGGGGGTGATCACAGTGTATATCACTGGGGCCACTGCACCCTTCCTGGGAGAATGTGAGACAGCTGATCCAAGGTACACTCCATTGCCTCTTCATAAATATAAGCAAACAACTGCCCAGTGAGACCCATAAATGGAGAATTCTTTGTGCTTCTTACCTGATGATGAGCTCCTCAGAATAGAGGAAATTATTTTATAATAGGAGCAAAGGATGTCTATGTTGGGAAAAAGGCCATATATAATATCAAGAAAATATCTGGCAATATTATTAGATAAGATGTAAGAATATGCAAGAATAGAAAGCTGAGAGGGTTACAGAAGAAATTAGCAATTTCTATACCCTTGGAGTAGGCAAAGTGCAATAAAGCCATATTGTGCCACTGGTATTGCAAAAAGCCAAATAAAATGATACCAAAACTAACAGGCCACAGAGATGAGAGTTCAGGGGTGACAAATGGCCACAAATAGATCATAAACCATCAGAGTGAGAAGCACATAATCCATACTTCAAAATGGTAAAAAGAGACATCTGTGTCAAGCAGCCCCCAATGGAGTTAGCTCTCTTATGAGCTAGGATGTCCACAATCATCTTGGGACCATTGTTAGAAAAGACAGATGTCAGCAAAGGACAGGGTAGAGAGGAAGAAGTACATAGGGGTGTGGAGGTGGGAGTCAGAGGAGATGGCCAGGATGATGAGCAGGTTCCCAAGCACTGTGACCAGGTACATGGACAGGAACAGCCCAAAGAGGAGGGGCTGTAGGTCTGGATCTTCTGAGGGTCCCATGAGATGGAATTCTGTGACACATGTTAAAATTTGTACTTCTATATTGCTTGAACATCTTTGAAATAGAAAAAAGAAGATGGAAGAAATGAAACAAATAAGCTTATGTTGTTAATTCTAATATTCAAGGTAATTTATTCACACCTCTGTTCCATATACCTTCATTAATATTTCACAGTTGTGACAATCTGTATCTTCTTAGTACTATTTAATTATTTTTTCTGTATTATCTCCACCTATACACCCCTACTTAAGAGACATTCAACTGAATATTGGAAGTACAAGGAAATTAGAGAAAACCAATCCATCATCACAGTAAAATAAAGCCTATTGTTTTCAGGGGAAAAAAAAAAACAGGAGAAGAAATATCTGTAATTCCTTAAAAAGATCCATTGATTCTGATAAAAGGAAATTAGGAAGGCTTTTAATATGCCTTATTACATTCTAGGATAATGGTACAAACTCCTTTGATATAGATTTATATATATCACGTATGTGGAATATATGGAATATTATATATACATATCCCTCCATGCATATATATGCATACATGGATATGTTTTTATAATATGTATGTATAATATATATACCCATAAGACCTAGAACTGCAAAATCTGAAGACTTAATTAAAGTTGATAGCTCATAAACCATAAGTTCTGGCAATAATTTTGGGAAAAGAAAAACTTTTATATTATAGATGGGAATATAAACTAATACTAAGAAAATCAGAATGGAGGTTCCTCAAAAGACTAAAAATTGAACTGACATATGATCCTACTCTACCATTCCTTCATATTTATCCAGAATTAGAGACAGTATTCTTTAGAGATGTATGCATTCCCTTGTTTATAGCAGCACAATTCACAACAGCCAAGTTATGGAACTTGGCTAGGCATCCATCAAAAGGTGAATGGATAAAGAAACGATGGCATCATGAGAACACATTCTTACATGCCAGGTTTCATTCTTCTGTGTAAGTGTTCATCCAAGCATTCCATATATCTAAGATCTTCTGCTTTTCCTCCTTCATGGATATAAGTGCTATGTCAAATATTGTTTATCTTTTTAAAAACCATTTCATTTTTACTCATATCATTGGCCTAGGTAGACTTAAAATTATGATAAATGTGGTTTAGTGAACTGTCCATAAATAATATCACCAAATAAAAATGTGGCATGAGTGTACACTGTCCCTGTCAATGATTAAAAATAATAATTTTTTTAAAAACCTTCTGAAATTACTTTTAAACTTTATGCAACTTTATTTGTATCAACCCCATAAAAAGCTGGCGAGTATGGTTAGCAAGGCAATAGTTCTTTGTTTTCTTCTCTTTTTTAAATTTTTGTTTGTTTATTACAAGTCTGTTTTGGGTTTTATATGACCTGCCATGGTGCTTCATGTCTTTCTAATTTCAAGTCCTTCTTTTTTTTTATTATTAGTTGTTCAAAACATTACATAGCTCTTGACATATCATATTTCATACATTTGATTCAAGTGGGTTATGAACTCCCATTTCCTCCCCACCCCGTATACAGATTGCAGAATCACATAGGTTACACATCCATGTTTTTACATACTGCCATACTAGTGTCTTTGTATTCTGCTGCCATTCCTATCCTCTATTATCCCCCTTCCCTTCCCCTCCCCTCCCCTCCCATCTTCTCTCTCTACCCCATCTACTTTAATTCATTTCTCTCCCTTGTTTTTCCCCCTTTCCCCTCACTAGATGCCTTCAATAGATGAATGGATTAAAAAATGTTGCATTTATACACAATGGAGTATTACTCTGCATTAAAAAAATGACAAAATCATGGCATTTGCAGGGAAATAGATGGCACTAGAACAGATTATGCTAAGTGAAGCTAGCCAATCCCTAAAAAACAAATACCAAATGTCTTCTTTGATATAAGGAGAGCAACTAAGAACAAAGCAGGGAGGAAGAGCATGAGAAGAAGATTAACATTAAGCAGGGACGAGAGGTGGGAGGGAAAGGGAGAGAGAAGGGAAATTGCATGGAAATGGAAGGAGACCCTCATCATTATACATAATTTCAAGTCCTTCATTAACAGATGAGGATATTAGCACCAGAGAAGCCCCCAAACCCAGTTTGAGTCCCAGCTTTCTCATTTCTAATAATACATTTTCACAACATTGCCTCCTGATACATGGATTGCTATTCTCTTGCTTCAGCTGTCTGATGCCAACTTGAGTTCATTACTTTGTCATGTCTTACTATGATTAATTTGGAGGGGGAAAAAGGCACAAAAGAAAAGCATACAACACATTGCTCCTGGCCTGGCATTTTGAAAGCCCTGAAGTGGCCTGATGTTATCAAGGTGCTGTCTTTCTCCAACTCCTTCTTCTCACCACCTTCACAAGCCTGTAGAACTGCTAAAAAAACCTTTTAGAGGGAGCCATTTTCTGGGATCATGGATGAGATGTCTATGGGGATTAGAATCAGGGTCATAAAAAGAAACATTTAGGCAGAACACAAGGCCCATTTAAAGATGCACCCAAGAGCCGCTGCTGCACGGTTGAGGGCTGGGATCTCTAACGTGCTGCAGCAATGGTCAGCCACATCAAGCTCAATAGATGCTGCTCCTGGGACTGGGCACTTGGAAGTCATCTCCAGGCCTGGTGACTGAGGCTGTGAAGGTAGTGATTGACCTTGGGTACTGCTATATCGACTGTGCTCAGGTGTACCAGAATGAGAAGGAGGTGAGTGTGGCCCTTCAGGAGAAGCTCAAGGAGCAGGTGGTGAAGCACCATGAACTCTTCATGGTTAGCAAGCTGTGGTGCACGTTCCATGACAAAAGCCTGGTGAAAAGAGCCTTCCAGAAGACCCTTAACAATCTGCAGCTGGACTACCTGGACCTCTACCTGATTCACTGGCCAAAAGGCTTGAAGCATGGTGAAGACTATTTTCCGTTGGATGCGGCAGGCAGCGTGGTTCCCAGTGACACTGATTTTGTGGACACCTGGACGGCCATGGAAGAGCTGGTAGATGGAGAGCTGTTGAAACCAATTGGCATCTTTAACTTTAATCATCTTCAGGTTGAGAGGATATTAAACAAACCTGGCTTGAAATATAAGCCAGCAGTTAACCAGATTGAGTGACATCCATACCTAACTCAGGAAAAGTTGATCCAATACTGCCATTCCAAAGGCATTGTGGTGACTGCCTACAGCCCCCTTGGCTCTCCCGACAGGCCCTGGGCCAAGCCTGAGGACCCTTCCCTCCTGGAGGATCCCAGGATCAAGGCGATTGCAGAGAAGTACAATAAAAGGACAGCCCAGTTGCCCATCTGATTCCCCATGCAGAGGAAATTGGTGGTGATCCAAGTCTGTGACACCTGCATGTATTGCAAAGATTTTCACATTAATTTCTAAACTGATAAAGGGATTATAACTCTCTGACTATAGTCATGTGAAGAAAACTCATGGTCATTACTCTGTCAGGTTTCACAATGCTGCAGAAAGGATAAAATACAAAAGAGAACAGTGCAGAAACTACCGTAAACAAAGTGTTGAGAGCCACAGCCAAAGGGGCCCCAGCAAACTTCCAGCTGATTGGCTCAAGGTGGCCCCAGTAAACTTCCAGGTGCCAGCTGATTGGCTCCTCTGAGGTGATGCTCATTGGGCTGTTTCCCCACCCTTTCAGATCATGGAGCTGCTCATTGGGTACTCTTTTGGCTCCGCCCACGCGACACAGCCAATTGGCCTCAACAGCAGGAGGAGTGGGGGGTTGAAAGGCTCGCCAGAAGCCTGTGGTGGCAGTTGGGCTCTGAGGGAATTCCTGAAGAGCTTGTGTGGTGTGGCATGTGTGTTCTAAAAATAGAGTTCATTTCTGCTTGACAAGTGGCTCCTGAATTGTGCCTAGCCAGACTGCGGCATTTGGTGGCCCACATGGGAACGACTGAGGGTAAGTGATAAGGTAAACTGCTCGCCCCTGAGGGCAGGGAGAGAGGATGCGTAGCCATTTTAAGATTCTTCTTTCGCTTTGTTTCCCTTTTGTTTTAAGTTGCCTGTCCCTAGAGATGGGTGAGATGGAAGAAAAACCACTCACATGTGAGGAAAAACTATTTGCATCTGAGGAACAGATAGGGAGAAAGGACGGATGGACATTTCAGGAGGATAGAAAGGCTGATATAATGATTTTTTGTTGTTCCATTTCTGTTTATTTCTGTTTCGGTTTTGTTTGCTGTTATCTTGTTGGGTTGTATTATAGTTATAGTAGAAACATGGGATCAGAAATTAGTAAAAACACAAACTGAAAGAGTGTTAATTAAATTGTTAGAGAAAGGGGGCATCCCAGTAAAATCAAGAGCAGTCAGGGCATATGTTGATACAATACACAAACGTAGTCCATGGCTTTTTAAGGAGTTGTTAAATATATCACAATGGAACCATCATGGTGAAGATTTAAAAAGAATACAAAAGAAAAGCCTAGGAACTCTGCCAGTTGGCATATTGCTATTGTGGGCATTGGTATTTTGTTTGCTTAGTCCAAAGCCTTGAGTTCAGACAATGGTAGAAAAAGGAGAAGACATATTGATTCAAGTAAAAGAGAAGGTCTCTCGAGCTAGTCAGACAGAGGAAAAAATTCAAGTAAAAGAGAAGGTCTCTCAAGCTAATCAAACAGAGGAAGAAAGTTTAGAGAAGAAAAAGCCATCAGGGGAAAAGTTACAACAGGAGACTGCTACTAACACCTTTATATCACCAGAGGGCATAAGTGTCCAACCAACAGTGCCACCTCCATATGCTGGGGGGCCCCCAACCCCCGTACTTGATAGATGGGATCCTGAGACAGGACCTCAAATATTAGCATGCCCTGTATTTGAGCAGGCAGGAAAGGCAGCAAATTCACCATGCTTTAGATTTCAAAACAGTGAAGCAGCTAAAAGAGGCTGTAACAACCTATGGTCCTCAAGCACCCTTCACTGTAAGCATGGTCGAATCCATTACCAACTTGAACATGATGCCAGCAGATTGGACTAGTATGTGTAAAGCTGTGCTAAATGGAGGACAATACCTGTTATGGAAGGTTGCCAAAGAGGAATTTTGCAAGGAGACAGCTAGGCAAAATGCAGTAGCTGGTTATCCTCAGAGAAATCTAGATATGTTGTTAGGAAAGGGACCTTATGAGGATCAGCAACAACAAATTGCATATGATCCTGCCATATGCTTACAAATTGCTGTAGATGTGGTTAGAGCATGGAAGACTTTACAAGGACATAGAGGTTTACAAGGTCAATTATCTAAGGTAATACAAGGATCTAATGAACCTTATGCTGAATTTGTTGATAGGCTTATTCAAACAGCTACCAGAGTTTTTGGGAATACAGAACAAGCAATTCCATTAATAAAACAACTGGCTTAGGAGCAATTGAATCGTTGGTGTAGAGAAGTCATTAGACCATGGAAACATGAAGATTTAAACACATATATTAAATTATGTAGACACATTAATGAAAAAGGGCAAGTCTTGGCAGCTGCAGTACAACAGGCTTTAGATGCCAGGCCAAAAACATGCTACAATTGTGAACAAACAGGACATTTTAAAAGGAATTGCCCCATAGAAGGAGGGTTTAACAAAACTAGGTATCAAAGGGGTAGAATACTGGGTATTTGCCCACGATGCCATAGAGGGAGACATTGGGCTAATGAATGCCATTCTCAAACCACCATAGAAGGTACTCCGTTATCAAAAAATGAACAAGGACCAGGTGTCTATTCACGATATTGTGGAGAAAGGCATCAGGCTCCATTTCCAAAAAACGGACAGTGGGGCCCAATGCTCCAGGGCCCACGACCACAAATATACAGGGCAGTGGAGGAACCCAGCAACCCCATCAGGGTGGTGCCCAGGACACATTATCCATTAGATCACTCACTAGAGAAACCAGAGCAAGTGCAGGATTGGACATCTGTGCCTCTGCCAGAACAGTACTAACTCCAGAGATAGGAGTTCAAATCATTCACACAGGGGTAAAAGGGCTTCTTCCCCAAGGAACAGTAGGCTTATTATTGGGACGCAGTTCTTCTACTCTAAAAGGACTTATGATAAGTCCTGGGTAATTGATCCCAATTATGAAGGTGAAATAAAAATTATAGCCAGTTCTCCAAGGGGTATATCAGTAATTTCATCAGGAGATATAATAGCACAGTTATTAATAATACTCAGCCTACATGATAAATTTTCCAGTAGTACTGTAGAAAGAGGTTCCAGGGTATTAGGCTCAACAGGTGTAGATTGGGCAATGCTGTCTTTAAATTTAGATTCTCTCCCCATGCTAAAACTAAATATTCAAGGACATGAATTTGATGGACTACTGGATACAGGTGCAGACCTTAGCATCATCTCTCGTCAAGAATGGCCAAAACATTGGCCGTTACAACAAGCCACTCAAATGCTTCGAGGCCTAGGAGTGGTGACTAATCCCCATAGAAGTGCAATTGTATTAGACTGGAAGGAACCTGGAGGATGTGAAGAAACTATACAGCCATATATATTGGATCATCTTCCCATAAATTTATGGGGACGAGATGTCCTAGATCAATTAGGACTAACATTAACAAATAACATCAATCCAAATTCACCCACTATTATGGCTAGACAAGGTTTTAGGAAAGGAAAAAGATAGGAGAACAAGAACAAGGTATAGCAGCACAATACAAATAGATCAAGGAACAGACAGACACGGATTGGATTTTCAAGAGGGGTCACTGAGACAATAATAATTACTTGGAAATCAGAAAGACCAGTATGGGTTCCTCAGTGGCCCCTGACTAAAGAAAAGATACAAGAAGCCCATGACCTGGTCAAACAACAATTAGAGGAAGGACATATACAACTTTCTGTATTTCCCCATAGTACTTCCATTTTTGTCATTAAAAAAAAAATCTGGTAAATGGAGATTATTGCAAGATTTAAGAGCCATTAATAATGAGGTGGTTATTACGGGACCTGCTCAATCGGGGATTCCCCAATTGTCTGCTTTGCCAAAAACCTGGTATGTTTTAGTTATAGATATTAAAGATTGTTTTTTTTTTCAATTCCAATTCATCCTGAGGATAGTCCACGTTTTGCATTTACTATCCCTGCACTGAATCATGAAGGTCCTGATCAGAGATATGAATGGAAAGTACTCCCTCAAGGGATGGCTAACAGCCCAACTATGTGTCAAATTTATGTTAACAAAGCAATCCAGCCACTTAGAAATCAAAATCCTGAACTACAAATATTTCACTATATGGATGATGTATTGTTAGCACACAAAGATAAAAACACATTGCTAGAATGTTATGCCACACTTACAAACTTATTAAAAAGCTACAATCTAGAGATAGCAATAGAGAAAGTATAATTAAATTTTCCAATTAATTATTTAGGAGTTCTATTATCCTCAACCATGGTCCGTCCGCCAAAAATCCAAATAAGAGTAGATCAACTCAAATCACTTAACGACTTTCAAAAGTTATTAGGAGACATAAATTGGATAAGGCCTTATCTAGGCATACCAACAGCAGAGTTGGGACCTTTATTTGATATTCCAAAAGGTCCATCAGATCCAAATTCACCCCAAATGTTAATGCCTGAAAGCATGAAAGACATTAAAAATCATTGAAACATATATGGAAAATATGCATTTGTATAAAATTGATATAAGTTTGCCTTTATTATTTATTATACTACCAACAAAAAATATTCCTACAGGAGTATTTTGGCAAGAAGGTCTATTATTATGGATAATTTATCTTATTCTCCTAAAACTACTCTTACTAGGTATCCTGAGGCTGTAGGACAACTAATATTCAAAGGAATAAAAACAGCAAAGGGAGTGTTTGGAATTTCTCCCAATAAAATTATTACTCCATATACTAGGGATCAAATTGATGAGTTAGCAAATGAGTTAAACACTTGGGCAATAATCATGTGTAAATCTAATGTTTCATTTGATAATCACCATCTAATCCTTTGTTGTCTTTTTGGTCTTTGCATCCTGTAGTTTTTCCAAAAATGACAAGAAAAACACTTATCATGAATGCTCCAAATATATTCACTGATGGGTCAAATAATGGTACAGCAGCAGTAGTTACACCTGATCAAAATTTTACATTTTTAGTACCCAAATAATCAGCTCAAAAGGTAGAGCTTAATGCAGTATTACAAACTTTTTTGATGTTTAAAGATTCTATATTTATTTTCCGATAGTCAGTATATAGTTAATGCTATAGTATCCCTTGAAGATGCTGGTAGGATTTCCACTTCCTCTACTGTTTTCTCTTTGCTTTCCACT